CCCCAAAACCCCAAAACCCCAAAACCCCAAAACCCCAGCTTATATAATTTTTAAAATATTATCAATGATAGGCATTCAAATCATGAACTTTGCCCAAAGAATTTCGCTGATAAGGGAGGGGAAAGAGGTATCGGCGAGTGATCTCCATGAAGTTATTTGTGCTCTCAAAGAAAAGAAAGTGTCTCAAAACTTAGTGCTAAACTTGATAGAAAACAGGGGACTTCTTAGGCTAACAAAATTCCTACAACAAAAGGCTAATAAACTCATAAGAAAGATCAGCGCACGACTCATATGTGAACTAATGTATAATAATCCCAAAGGACAGCTGACATTTTCAGAGCATTTCAGTTTTTCCTCGTTTAGTGGGTTTAATACCATCAATAATATCCCTGAACAAATGGTTGCCTACTTTAAGCGCAATCCCAGCTCTTTTTCAACCTTAAAATAACATGGATAAGTACTATGAACAAAAAGAGTCTAAAGGAGGTGAGCTCTCTCAGACATATTGGTGCTTTCCACCCATGAGAACTCGCACATCCTCAGAGAAACGTAAAACCGCCAGAGAACAAGACAAATATAGAAACGAAGAAAACCTTAATGAGAGTGAGATTAATGAAAACAGCAAGATTTTAACCGAGGAAGAACTTGAAGAGGAGTATATAGATTTTCCAGACCCAATGGAGTATCTCATAGGCTTCTATGCCAGTAGATCTAACCCAAGCCCGTCTTATAAAACAAATAGCACTAAAATATCATCTCAAAATTCTTCAACACAGAAGAATAAGCCGCCTGTGGTTCATAATTATTCAAAAGAAAACGGGTCTCAAGGTGTGTATAAGTCATACTACAACTGTAAACGGCCAAGCAGGGGCAAGAATGAGACATATAAGATCCAGGGTGCCTCAGAGTCTTCAATCTCTTCGAAATACAGAGTCAACTCGAACATGAACAGCTCTTATGAAAGACGAAATATTTTTAGCAAGAGCAAGAACTCAGCTACTTCTACGATGAAATACTCCAATACTATTGATGATGAGGATAGACTCTGCAGAACACTAGGAGAAGACCAGATGATGCAGAGCCGTAAAGATGGCAGTCTTGAAAGGAGTAGCTATGAACGGAAAAATTTCGATCCCTACGGGAGCTCCAGAAGTTACGGATATGAGCTAGGTACCTCATTTAGTAAGGACAAGACCTATAAACCTAATCCAAACTCATCAAGCAAGAACTCCTATACAAAGATGAAGAAAGATTTTGGATTTGAAGTATCTCCTCAACTTGCGGCTAATTCACACCGAGTAAATTATTCAGGAAATCCTTCACTCAAAGAAAATCCATCGAGCAACAGAACTAGAACTACCAAAGAACCAGAACAGAACTACACAGGAGTTATCGCTGCTGGTTCTGGAAGCGTCAGCTCTACTAAAATCAAAAAGGAAATAGAAGGGCGGAAGAAAAAGAAATTTAAAAAGATTGAATACCTCAACAAAAGCAAAGTTGGAGTTTCAACCATCCATGCTACAACAGCTATTAAAATTGGTAGCCACACCCCTAGCTCGAATATATCAGGTACTATGAAGCTTAACAATTTAGGGATTAAATAACATGTATTCCCAGTATCAGAAGAAGTACAAGTTTAAACCATCATCAGGGATAAACAGCTCCCGCGGAGTCAAGAATAAGCCCCCACTTGGAACTATACATGGCCAAATAACCTCAACTGGAGTGACAAGTTTTAAGCAGAATAGGTCTCGAGTAAATCCAACCTTATCAGGAAGGGACCCTCACTCCATGAGCAACAGGAGTTCAGATATAAACAGTAAAAAGAATTGCTAATTTTCTAGCGAAATTAACTGCCACTTTACCAAAATCAGCGACTTATAAGAAGTACACAGCTGGAACTGGATATAAGCCAAGCAGTTTGCATAAAAAGCATATTTCAGGCAACAAGATTCAGGTGTACTCTGCAAATTCTTATCGGGACAGTAAGAAGATGAACTTTAACTCTATGGTTAACAATAGTGCTAACCTAGGAAGTAAGCCCTGTTGTCTAAATTTATAGGGTCTTCAGAAATGCCTCATAAAACTTCGAAGATCAGGTCATCAAAATATACCTAAAATCATTAACAAAGGATCCTTAAAGCCAAGCGGCTCTCATAACGAGAACATTGATGGGAGTATCACTGGGATAAGAGCTTTGGAGACAAGCGCATCCCCTTTCAGGATGGACTCAAGTAGCTCAATGACCAGGAAAATGCATATAATTATGAAACCACAATAAGGAGGGTATATATAGCCCTATTAGTTGCATAAAGATTAATTCCTAATTTCTTTGAATGTATAGGGTTGTGATCTCTACTCACAAAGTTAGCTCCATTCCTTTAAATTTTAGCTGGCCTCTGAATTTCACAATATAAAAATTATTTTACAATTTGAACTGAGTCAATTGCCAAACTCGTATTAGGGGTTTTGGGGTTTTGGGGTTTTGGGGTTTTGGGGTTTTGGGG